TGTCAGATATCATCTATACTTGTCTCATCTATGCCTCGTCCACACTGTGCCTCGACCCCACTGTGCCACCGTTTTTTTTTAATTTCACACTTTACCTGCCCACAAGAGGGTTTCAAAATGACAACTTATGCACGAAAAAATAACTTTTTCAACTTAACTTTTTAAAATGTTCAAGAAAGTCTGACACTTATATATATCTTAAATTATTGCTAATGTAATGTTCTTTATTATGGAAAAAATTTCGGACTTTATTTTATACTGTGTCGGACTTTTTTAGTTATTTTTGAATAATTAAAAATTGATAACACATGAATAATTCAATTNACTGTGTCGGACTTTTTTAGTTATTTTTGAATAATTAAAAATTGATAACACATGAATAATTCAATTCCAGAATCATTTTATTATGTATTTTATTTATAAATATTAGTTGATAAAACTTTAAGGAAGTAAAAAAGGGATAGGATGTTTTTTTTTTAATATTATAAAACATTAGAAATGATAAACTACTATAATTAAATAATCATATTATGTTGTATATTTATAAAGATTTGCGTAAATCACAGTTTAATAATTTCCTATAAAAAAACTTATATACATATTTTATTACTTGTATAAAGAAATTATTTACAAAAGACTGAGGTTTGATTAAAATTTGAACAAAATATGTAGTGGTCTAATATAGTTAATAATTAATAACAATAATAAAAAAAGGAAAAGTTATAATAGTAATAAAAATAATGAATAAAATTACGCTGTGTGTAACATTAATTAACAAAAAGAATAATCTTAAATGGCTGAATTTTTAAAATGATTAAAAATAAAGAATCTAAATATATTTTTTAGTGAATACCAAATTATTTAGATTAAAAAGTATATGTATAATTTTATATTTTAATTGATTTGTAAATTACAAAGTAAGGAAGAACAATAAATAAAAAAATGTATTATGTATTATTATACTACCTAATTTTAAAAACCAAAATTTCTGCACAATAAAATAACACCTTCATCAATTTTATTGTTAAATTGTGGGTCAATAGAGTTATCACGCAAAGAACTTTTTTCTAGTATTTCCAATTCAGCAATATAGTTTTCTAAGAAAGGTTCAACTAGTATTTCAAAAATCTTCTCAACTTTAAAACTTTTGTGTTTTAGAGAAAAATAATGAATTTTCTCAAGTGTGCTATTTATAAATTTATAATTTAGAGTGTTGTCTAAATTATGAAAGTTGTTATTAGTAGTCAGCTTGTTACTTAATAATAATGATTCGTTGAGAACATCGAGTACAAGATTCTCATTAGTACATTCAAAATATTTTAATGCATTAGCCATACAAGTCATTAATGGTTTGTACATAGACATCATTTTAATTATTTTTTTCAAATTAATCAACTTATTTAAGTTATCTGGGAATATATATATTAATGACATAACACAATAATTATTACATAAATACCTTAGCATATCTATGTAAATTTTTCTTAATACCATAGAAACAATTTTTGCAGTTTCATCAAATTCAGTTTTATTGACATCATTGATATAAGAAAATTCACGAACTGACTGGACTATTTTAACACCATCCATTGGGTTATCCCATAAGCCCATACCAATTATACTAGTCCATCCTATAGAATTAATAATTCTATTAAATTGAGCAACTTCATCAGGATTTGCTTTTGGTTCTGGTATTGGTTCCGGCATTATTTTACACCGATTATATGTGCTAGTAGTAAGACATATTAACATAAAAACGAATATTAATCGTGTGAGCAACATCATAAAAATCGTAATTGAACAAAAAAATAACTTACTCGTATAAGCCTTATACCATAATTCCTTTAATTTATGTGTATAGATTATTTACATTTACAACTTGTATTAATAATATATGAAAAATTATTATTTATGTATAATATACATTATTGTTTGTTTTATTATTATTTATTCGTATTTTTTTAGTCTATGAAAGTATTTTTGTGTTAGAAGTTCATTTATCATTATACAGCATAAAAATAAAATCATACTTGTCAGATACAATTTTTTAAACTTCTGATCCCAATTCAAAATTAAAATTTTATTTATTAATGAAGTATTATCGTTTCGAAATCTTTAATAAAATTAAAAATGAAATGACCTCATAACTATTTGTCCTACCCAGAAGTGTCTGGTATTAATTTGAACTGCTTTTAATTCTCTCTAAAGAAAATAAAATAATTAAAATTTATTATATATATATCATAATTGTGCTTACAAATTATCAATTTTATCTAATTTATCTAATTTAAAATTAGAATCAGATAGGCTTTAGTAAGTTCAAAAAACTTTAAGCATTGTCTCAGAATACTTTACTTAAAGTATTTCTCTAAATATTTTCTTTTCTATGTGAGATCCTTATAATTATACTCAATAGCAATTTATTTATTTATTTTTTAGCTTCGATGCAAAGCTGAGAAGGTACTAATTTTACTATGATGTATATTTCTTTCAATTTTTTTTTGTGTCTGTGATCGTTCAATCTCAGCTCTCGCTGGACTGATTTTGATGAACAATATGTCAAAAGATACGGACAGTGGTATTGTCATTTTCGTTGCATCGTCATTAGTGTCTTATGTTATATTGTTGTATTTTACTTTTTACTAAATTAAATTGGTGTAATACTTTTGTTTAAATAGTAGTTAAATATTGATCATTTTATGAAATGAGTAAGTAAGTACGAAAATGTGCAAGTAATCATTATAATTGATAATCGAATTATAATGATTTTTTTACAACTTTATTTCTTTAAATGACAACATACATATATAACTGCCTTATAAAATAAAAAAAGATCTAATTAAAAAAAAACCCAGCACAGGATGGTCGCGGCACAGTGGTGACGTGGCATAGTTGGATCAAATATAATGATATCTGACAGTGATTAAAATCACTATAAAAAAAA